CATAACACTTATTGAGTAATGTGCCAGGCCCTGTGCTTAGTTAATAAGAATACAGAGATGGGCTTGACATCATCTTTGTCCTTGTGTGTTTTATTAACAGCATCTTCTGTGTTGAACTGCTTTGTTTGAAATGGTGGTTCAAATAGCCGCTTGAGTTGAAAATGAACTCTTGTTTTTTTCTTATTGGAAGAGAAAACATGCCTCCCCAGGTGAAGTGCCTAGAGAATTGAAGGTTTTTGATACCTTTATATTCCATCTTCATTTTAAGTCAGAAGATATGGAAAGGCAAATTCTTAGTTAAGGTTGGGTTACTTGATGTATCCAGTAGTCTCTTAACTCAATGTCAGCTGGCTGAGGTTTAGTGACACTGGGTCAGGTGGACAGAGTAGCCATGGGACAGTGGCATCCTCAAGACTCTTCTTGAGGGTGTTTGGGGTATGATTTAGCAAAAACACATGGCAGAAATCCCAGAGGTTAATCTCTGACAAGTAGGTTCAGAAGTGGCAGGTCAGAGATGCTTGCTGGCGGGGCAGGTCCGTGGTGGTTCTTAAGAGGGTAGTGGAGCATGTTGAATCAGAGCCATCAGCTCTGGAAGCAGACTGTCTGGGTTTCAGTTCTGGGTCTGCCGTCACCTGGGGCAAATCATTTAGTCTGTCTGTGCTGTGGTTTATTCATCTGTAAGGTGGGGATGGGAATAATGCTCATATTGTCTCCGTAGGATTAATCTACATAAAGTACACAGTGGCTGGTACATAGAAAGGGTCAGTAGATGGTGGTGGAATTGGGATGGCCAGCATTAGTGTCCAACCTCATCATCGTGAATTCCTGTATTCACCCCATGTCACAGAGTCACAGAAGATCAATCTGTGGCAGAGGGGGGTCAAGAAGAGATAGTAGGTCACACTTGCCGGTGGAATAAGAAGAGATAGTAGGTCACACTTGCCGGTGGAATGTAATTTGAGAATTGAGGGAGAGTATCTTCTTGTTAGTGTGCCAACTTTGTATCCTACCTAGGATGTGCTCCACCAATGGCTGTCACCAATGACTATGAGTCGGGGACTCTGTCCAGTAGTTCTGTCGCCTTTAACTTGGTTCCAAAACGTTAACAGCCCTTGAGCGCCCATCAGCATGGGCCAGTCTTCTGTTGTTAGCTCTCCCTTGGGGAGACAGGCAGACTTCACTCGTCAGTACTTCCCAACGTATTTGCAGAAGTGCCTCCACTGATGCAGGTTTACTGGTGGGCTTCTCACTCTTGCAGTCCCTATCCCATAACCCCTCTACCTCGGTTCCCTCTCAGTGTCTCCACAAAGGGGCAGTGGACAATGTAGCAATTGGAGGAATGTACCTAATTCAGTGGCTCTTAAATGAAGGCAGTTTTGCCCCCCCACGGGATGTTTTTGGTTGTCACAGCTGGGGAATTGCTACTGTCATTTAGTGGATAAGAAGCCAGGGATGCTGCCAAACATCCTACAATGCCCCAAGGCAGTCCTCATGACAACAGTTATCAGGCCCAAAGTGTCAATAGTGCCAAGGTTGAGAAACCCTGAGTTAAGTCACATAGGAGGGCCAGGGCTGCTTTGGTTAACTGCAATTGCCAATATAATAGTTAAATGATATTCTAGATTCCGTTCTGATTCTGGTTGGCTGGTGATACAGGCTCCAGGCAAAGAGGCTGGATATGGTGGCTACTTATCGCCTATATCTGGGGAGTGTTCCTTTATGTGGAAGGCAGCCACGTCTCCCTGGCCCAACTGCCCCCGCCTGTGTGGCTGGTGTCTGGCAACCGTCAGAACTCTGGAGAGCCCATTGATTGATTCCGTGGACTCAGGGGCAGAGCAGAGCAGATGACTGACTCCCGCTGTCCGTGCCAGCTAACCATGTGCCAGTGTCAGACTGTGAGTCATGCCGACCATGGGACTGCGCACCCCAGAGGAGGGTGATCTCATGACCCTTGGGAGAAAATGATAAAACTTTGCATCACCCTAAAGGAGATTTCTTTAGGAAGGAGGACAGCATTTTTCCAGAGGAAGGTTTTGTTTTGTTTACATATTCAACGGGCAATTATGCATTGCTTATTATGTGTCAGGCAGTGTTCAAAGCAGTATATAAATATTAACTCACTAAGTCCTGGCAACAACCCTAAAGCAGGAGGCTCATTCATATCACTCTTTTACAGACAAGAAAATGGGAACAGAGAGGCGCAGGACACAGGCTCAGGACGTCTGGCTCCAAAGTCAGGCCCTCACCCACTGTTCTGGATGAAAGACTCTCAAATGCACTGTCGGTTTCTTTATTCTACCCAAGTTCTGACTCCTGACTGGCCCCAGTGAGGCATCAAGGAATTAAGCAAACCTGAGCAAACCTTCATTCTGATTTGTTGTAGTTTTGTAACCACCAGCATGTTACTTAATGTCTTTGAACCTCAGCTTTCTCATCTGTAGAATGAAGTCACACCTACCTCACAGGATGTAAAGACAAAACAGACTTGATTATCTATGTGAGTGGCAAATAACAGGCATTCAGGAACATTAGTTCCCTTCTACTGTCTTTGCTGCAATCATGGTTTTAACCCAATTTCACCAAAGCTATAGCTAGCTTGTGTAGGTTTTTTCAATTCTTTTATGAGTTGGCTGGGCAAATGTGGCCATGAAGAGACACAGGAGCTCACATTATACTCACAGGTCCTAGAGATAGATACTACATGCCATGCAGGCCACATGGGATGGACACCAGGGTGATCTGGAGACAGAAGACACCTACTAGGGGAAGCAAAGCCAGAGCCCTAATTGGGGTTGGACAGTTTAGAATTGGTAGCCACATGGGCTTTGGGCTATAGAGTTGGTCTCTAGTTGTGGGCTTTGGGATATAGAGTTCGTCTCTACTGTGTTTCCCCGAAAATAAGACCTACCCATAAAATAAGCCTTAGCAGGATTTCTAAGCATTTGCACAATATAAGCCCTACCCTGAAAATAAGACCTAGTGATGGGCATCACTACGCAGAGTATCTGCACAATCCACGCATTCTGTCACAGAGCGGTAAAGAACACAAGCAGCCCTTCTCATCTGCCAGATGAGAGCTCTATTGCTTGACATGAGAGATTGGGGCCAATGGCTCCAAAAGAAATAGAATCCCAAGAAATTCAGGATGGAATTCGGGGTTTGGAGAGTTATAATGATGTTCCAGAAGACGGCTACTTAACTATATTTGAATAAATGTAGATTCTTGTACCATATTAAAAAAAAATAACACATCCCCTGAAAATAAGCCCTAGGGTGTCTTCTTGAGGAAAAATAAATATAAGACCCTGTCTTATTTTCGGGGAAACATGGTAGTTACCTGGCTCTGGGATGGTTAAGGCAGAGAATAACCTGCGGTATGGGGGCCAGGGAGAAGAGGAAGGGCTTTGGATTGATTAATTTGCATATCAAAGACTGGCTTCTGGGGCTGGGCCATTTGTTTTTAAGAATCGGTTAGACCCAAGAGACAAGTCTCTGCCTGACCAGGGAGGTTTTTAACAGGTCAAAACATCATAATGTATGGAAAATTTAAAAATATTTACAATACTGTGTACCTGTAGGTAAGAGACACACTGAAGAGCAAAGAATGGGCCTTGTCAGGTATTTGATCTGCAGATCTTAACATTGTTGAAGATTCTAAATGTTTGCTGTTGGGATGATTCTTATTTGAAGAACCAGACTTTTAGAACAAAGGTTGTGTGGGTTTTGTTTCTGTTTATGGTTTTTATTCTGCTTAGTGATGCTGTCTATAAACCACTAAGAACATAAACTTCCACGTTCATCGCGTATCTGTTTCTTTTCAGAAGAGTTTCTCTTCACTTGGCAAAATGGGATAGCCTGGGTGCACCTTGGCCAGGGTTGGTTGGCCGTGGTCTGGGTTGGCGACTGACCAGGCGTGTGTGTGTTTCCTGGCCAGGTCACAGCATCTGCTCTGTTTCCAGCAGAAGGGAAGGTGGCAACTTCCCATTCGTCTTAACTCAGGGCTTTTCTCAGTCCTGCCACCCACACTGTGCATTTCTCTCCGGCCTACTCCCAGTTCAGAAATGGGTCTGGACTCTGTCCTCATGGGAGGGCGTCCTGTTGCCCATCTGTCTTTCTGATAACACAAGTCAGTATATCTTTGATAATGAGTTTCCAGAGGAGAGGGTCTAAGTTCATCTCCTCTTCTCCCCACCCCAACCCCTCAGATGTCTTGTCTATAAACTTAGTAAATGCTTACATAGGGTTAAAGACAACCACCTATAATTTATCCAGAGGGATGTATACTACTCTTTAGATGAACAATCAGATATATAAGAAAGGGAATAAACTCTTAAGTGTAAGCACCATCAGAGAATATCCCCGGCATCTTAGAACAATGCCTGGCACGTAGTAATTGTTTAATAAATATTTTTGAGCAAATGAATGACTCTAGTTCTCTATTTTCAGTAGTTTTCTAAATCTGGTTATAGTCAACTCTAGGTTATCCAGCATGCCTGGAAATGGGGGACTGTGGCTTTTATTAATAAGTGCTACCATATGTAACCACTTCTCAAAAAAAAAAAACAAAAACTGGGACGTGATAGAGTACACAACACTAAAAATAATAATGAATTTGATCAACAGGCTGCTTTGGGACCATGCTGCAGCGTTGGCTTGTCATTCACTGGGTCAGAAAGCACTGTGGTCCGAGGAGGAGGAATTTAATACAGTGTAGTGGTAGGATGCTAAGCAACAGTTTGCTCTGTCAACCTGGTAGCTGGAAGTATTTTTATAATGTCACTCCTTGCCAGATTTGGGTTCTGCAGCAGACTGATTCATTTAGTAGGGTCTGAGCCAGTTGAAGATGGCCCTTGTCACCTTTAAGATATGGTTTTTTTAGGACAGATCTTTTGTGCCACTTCTGAGCCATTTGAGAAGTTTTGTGCTGCATGTTAGAGAGCGAGCCAGACGTGCATGCGGAGGCCAGAGTATTTTAAAATTGTCTGCATCTTCTTTTACAGATCTGAAGAAGACCCTTGCTGTGTTACTGGATAACATTTTGCAGCGCATCGGCAAGTTAGAGTCGAAGGTGGACAATCTTGTTGTCAATGGCACAGGGACAAACTCGACCAACTCCACCACAGCTGTTCCCAGCTTGGTAGCACTTGAGAAGATTAATGTAGCAGGTAAGGATGGCAATGCTGTATCCCGACATAGAGTCAAGCCTTGCTTTGGACTAGGAGAAGGATAAAGGAGCACAGTGTTTCTTACTGATACCCATATAGCACAAATTCTGTAAACTTGGTATGACTGTTGTAAAGGTAAGTTTAAATTTATGTTTGAATAACAGATCTTAAAATGCTTTTATAGTCTCATCATGATGTATAATATTTAGTGATTTCTGTGACACATTTGTGCATAATGAGCTCCTGGAATTCTCTTCTAATGAGAAGATTCGTAGCATGGATTACATGAAACAGAGAGGTTATTGAAGAAGTTTATCCCTTTTAGAGTTCCTTTCTCCTCCCCACTCCCATGAGACAATTTCAGAAGTGTTACATATATTCTCTGCTCCCTATTAAAGAAGAGCCACCATTGCAGAAAATGTCTCCTATGTGTACATGGAGAAATATAAATTCCAGAAATGGCATTTGGGAGGTACATGGCCCTTGCCTAGTCCTGGCCAGATTCTGTAGCCACTCTTGGGCACTGCCATGCAATTCCCACTGGGAGGCCTTTTGTCTGGCCCCTTCTTGAAACTAGAATATTGGATGAGAGCGGAAAAAATCAATTCAAAACAAAACCTAAATTATACATGGCATGTCACTGTCCACAGCTCACTTTGGACCCCCTCCCCTACCACACTACCCGGGGTCAGCCCCCGGGTCTTTGTGCTTGAGCCAGGACTGCTCTTTATTAGGGTGACTGCTGTTTCCTAGGGACGCAGTATAAAACAAAGAGCCTGAGGATCAGGATTAGGTGTTTTAGGTGAATGGTTGTGAATAAACTATGTTTTCACGCAGGTGGGTGGTAGCCAAACTCTGGTTTAATGGGTAAAGTAAGTGATTGAGTTACTTTTGAAATCTAGTTTCCACTTTTTAAAAATCTAGTTCCATATTCTTTTAAGCTTTCTTTCCCTCTCTTCCTTTCTTATAAAAATTCAGACTTAAGTAGGAGAGATTCTTTTCCTTTCCCACCTCCCAATGTCAAAACACTTAATTGTTTCACATTATGCAAACTGGTTGTATTACTTTTTATTATGTTCTTTGCCCTTTGGCAAGTTTTAAATTGCAAAATATATTTCTAATAATCTAAAGTGTCCAACTAAATAAAGGTATTAAAAATAACTTTTAATTACAACACAGAGGCAGTGTCATCTAGGCCATAAATTCTGTCTTCCTTGCACTTCCAACGGCTTCTGTAATTAGACGAGAAACCCTCCCACTGTGTCGAGCTGCTCATTAATAAATGGGAGCCATGCCTCTCCAGTCTCCGCGCCCCCCGCTGCGCCCAGTGGAAAATGCTGCTGGGAAGGTCCCGTCCGGCTGCATCACTGTTCTGCCTCATATTTCCGGAGGTGGGAGGGGGTGTTCCGTCTTTAATGTTGTTGACCCTTCTCTCTGTCCCATGCAAACACGCCTGCTGTCCTCTTGTCCTCTGATGTGAGGTCCTGCTGTCTCTGGCTGTCCTATTTGTTGCCAAGTCCACAAAGAGACTTTTCCACCTGAGCTTTGTGTCACAGGGCTCTGGGTCATGGGTTGTCTTCCTGGAATGAAATAGGAGGGACTTGGTGGCTGCTGCTTTCAGATGGGATCCTAATCCTGGGTATCGAGGTAGCTTCAGTTATCAAATACCTCTTGAGCGCATCTCTAGGCCATTGGCTCTGAGTGGGGCTCCTTTAGATGTACCACTTTAAATATCTTTTCACGATATTTAAAGAACTGGAGTGGGTTTTTTTTTTCTTCTTTGGAAAATAGGAGCAAGTTTAGAGTCATGTTTTTAATAATTAACCGCGTTCTCATACTTTTACATTTTTTCAGGTGTGTGTAGGATATGGTCTATACCTTCACAATTTTGATTGGTTAACTGGGTGTGTGTAACATTAATATTTTCCTAAGATAACACCACACCACGGGCACGGTGAAGTGGAGGTGACCGTGGAAGGCTTCCTGCAGGACGGTAAACTCCGAAGGTGGGTAGGATTGAGGCATAGGTGCCTTACGGAGGAGATAATAGACTAGAAATGGATTTCGACCCAGAAAAAACTGGGAGGGAGGGAAGGAGAGAGAACTGACATCTTGCAGCCATCCCGGAAATACCAGTTACTCTTCCTGACCCTCCAAGGTACATGACTGTACTTTACAATGTCTCTGGGAAGTAAGCGGTTTCCCAGGTTTCATGGAATTTAAGTACTGGGAAGAGGCGAACCATTGGTGCTGGAATCCCCTGAGCTCAGCTTGAGACCTCCTAGCACCATGTAGAGAAGCGGTTATGGGCGTTTGCTCCATTTCTCCTGCTTCTGTTTGCAAATTATTGTAAAGAATGAGTCTGTACAAAGGTGCTACGATTAAAGGGTTCCAGAGAAGAAGAGCTCAGTTTCCTGGGGTATTTAATAATCTGTCTGATAAGGAAGTTCTCTGTCTCAGGGTCTCTTCCTTTAGCTGCCCTTTATAAAAGCTGGTTGGTCCCTCTGTGCGTGTGTGTGTATGTTTGTGTATGCGTGTGTGCACAGTCACACGCAGGGGTATCTTTTCCTTAGACACTGTTGGCCAGAGCGGATATAGATGTGTTGAGCATCCTCCTTCATTTCCCCCAGAAGTTTGAGGGTCCGTTGTATCTTGTCAATTAACCAACACTTTTGTTTAAAACTATCTGTCACGTCTATGGATTGGGGTGCTGCAAAGAAGGACGAGGACTTAAGTGGGCAGTTCTTGTTTGGGAGAAGCCCCTCCTTGCCCTTCTGCCCTCTTTCCGATCTGTGGCCCTGCTGGTGGTCCTCGGACCCCTCTTGTCAACTCAGAAATGGCTCCTGAGCTCAGAGAGAGCTCAGTTTTATGGAGTTCCACTCCTAGTGGAGCAAAGTTTTTTAATTCTCCCTTCCTGCATTGAGACATGTGGTAATTGCTCAGAAATGTTCTCCCTGGTGTGTCTTACTGCTGACTCTGGCGTCTTATTGCTCACTGATGTTTCTGATTGCTTACTGTTGTGTCTTATTGCTTGCTGATATATCTTTCAGCTGGCTACATACTGTCTCTAAATTGGGTACCATCGCAGTTACAGAAAGGTTCCCTAAATTTATTTTCTTTAGAGGAATGGCCCTGTGTGTGTATGTGTGTGCCCTTTCCTTTCTTTGTTTAGCCATGTTCTGTGTGGCTTTTATCCAAAATGGCTTTTCTTTTCAAAATTATCATCCATTAAATGCAAAGGTGAATGCACCACTGGAGAAATTTAGGTGGAAACGAATTTTATTAAAATTAAGAAATCAGATTGGACTCCACTTTTGAGCTCTGTTTATCTTGTTGAAGAGGAAGGGGAATGAAATGAAAAAGCAGATTTTAAAAAATCCCCACCCTTCCACTAATCACACAGTAAATTAATTTCTCCACCTTTACTCTCTGAAAGCGCTTGAATGTTCCCTTGTCAAAATTATCCACTTTCAGAATGAGGCCATGGTTTTTGGAAAGACCCATTCTGCCTTTTCACTAGTTTTGTGATCTGAAATGAAGAAGTAGAGCGACTAGGATTGGGTCTGTAATTTTTCGATATGGGGAAGCTAGAAAGTATAGATATCTGATAATGCAAATACTTGTCTTCTGAGAACTGAGACAGTGTCTGATTTATCTTTGTTCTGCTTTTGTGTCTTGGTCAAAGCCTTACCTGTTGAAGGTACTTAATAAATACTGTTCACATGGATTGGATTATACTTAGAGGGGACAGCCTTTGGTTTCACCTCCAGGAGTTTCTCCTTATAGTTCCTCTTCTCTGTATTTATGGGCATTTGCTTGGAAGTGTGTCTTGGTATCTCATTTCCCTTTCTCAGACCTCAGCAGACACCACCTAAGAAGTGGGACTGCTTATTTTGTCGGTCATGACTGAGCCTTGCATCGATGATTCTGTGAGTCTCCCTGGGATGTAGTGGTTGCAACTTTAGATTGTGATAAAGCAGTGGCCCCCAATCTTTTTGGCACCAGGGACCAGCGGAGCTCGGGCGGTGGTGGGAGTGGTGGGGAGCAGCTGTAAATACAGAGGAAGCTCTGCCTGCTGCTCAGCTCCTGCTGTGCACTCCCTCTGATTCCTAAGTTTCATGGAAGACAATTTTTCCGTGGATGGATGTCGGGGGACTGGGGGTACAGCGGAGCTCTGCAGCCCTGTCCCTAACAGGCTGCAGACTGGGAGTTGGGGACCACAATTTTAGAAGATGGGGACATTGTACAGCTTTCTACAAGGGTACGTGTGTGTGGTTATTTATACTCTCAATAACTAGTTGTCATTCAACGTTAGCTGAATAACTGGTCGGTGCTGACTATTCTCTGAAAGCCAAAACACAGTGATAGGGACCCACTTTGTTATGACCGCTTATAATTGCAAAGTCATTTAGAAAGCATGATCACTAAATCAAAGGTGCAGGCACAACTCAAATGACTGTTTTCTGGTATTTAGTCCAAATTGAACTTCAGGCAGCTGTGCATTTTTCCAAGGTCACTTGCAACATGCAGCACATTCCACTGTTTGGGGTTGAAGTGCAGTGTATTTGAACTTGGATGCTGTTCTTAACACATTGACTGCCATGTGAGTTGCGTTTAACTCAGGCTAGTTTTGAGCCCAGGGTTTTGTGAAGCAAAACCCTGCGGTTGGTTCGTGAAAATCTTACTCGTCGATATTCTTATTGTTACAATTAACATTGATAGTTTAATTCTAAAACCGTGGATTGCATTGCACATAGCTCATGCACAGAAAAATAATTAAAAAAATTAAAACAGGATTATTTTGTTTTAATAAAACACTGTGGCCCCAGGAAAAAAAATTTTTTTCTACTGTGGCAGTCAATGTGTTAAAAACAACAGCCATAATTATTATTCCTACCGTTTGAAAGTTGAAAATGAAAAATGTCCCTGCTGAGTTCCAGAGCTTGCATTTGGAAGTGTAATTTTCCCCCCTTTGTGCTGCTAATGGACCCTGAAATTAA